CAAGTCGTCCAGCTGGTCAGACCTGTGGGACACCTGGTCACGCACAGTCCCGCTGCTTCGCCTATTTGACTGACGCCTGGCATGCAGAGTTTGGCGACGAGGCTGAGACCCCCCACTGGCTTGAGCTGCTTAGGTCGGGCATTGATGTCTTTGCTTTGGACTATGACGCCATCGTTACTGCCATGTCTGCTTTGCCTGGTGGTGCTGAGAGTGACTGTTACCTCTGTGTGTAGTACGACCCCAGTATAGGGGTTGCTGCTCTAGGTGCTAGTGAGGCTGCTGCCTTGGGTTCTAGTGAGTCTGCTCTCTCAGGTACTACGCCTGCTGAGGCCTTGCACACCTTCACGCTTGACTCAGGTGCTTCTCGCTGCTTCTTCCGTGACATTACCGCACTCACACCACTCCTTGCACCTGTTGCAGTCTCTCTAGCTGACCCCTCAGGGGGCCCAGTTCTTGCACGGTCCACCACTGTGCTACTGTGCCCGGCGGTTCCGTTTGGCTCACTATCAGGTCTCCACCTCCCTTCATTCTCGACGAACTTGGTGAGCAACGCCGTCCTCCAGGATCATTGGGTTGACACCTTTACCCCTGGAGGACAGCGTGTGGCGATCTATACGTGCTCCAGGACTAGACATCACCTGGCCACGTTCACCCGTCGGCCATGGTCGAGTCTTTACACACTGACGACTGTGTCTCCTCACGTAGCTGTTGTCGGTCAGGTGTCTGCGTCAGGTCTGGTAGCCTCCCCTTGTGAGTGTCGCTCCCTGTCACACCAGACTCTTCTCTAGCACCACCGCCTGTGTCACCCCTCCTTGCCACGTCTCCGTGGCATGCACCGACGTCTCCTTGTGTCTGGTCTTCCCAGGTCTCTCCCTCCCCTCCCTGCCTCCCCTGTGCCGCCCAGCCTTCCTTGTGTCGAGGGGCGGCTGCGCCCCTCCTCACTCCTCCTCATTTCCCCCGACAGAAGCTCCTCTGCAGACCCTCCACCTGGACGTGTGGGGCCCAGCCCGCGTTCGTGGATAGGGCGGTGAGGGGTACTTTCTGCTGGTTGTCGACGACTTCTCGCGTTTCACCACGGTCTTCCCCTTGTGCACCAAGGGTGAGGTCCCTGCTGTCCTGATCCCTTGGCTCCGAGCAGTTCGTCTTCAGCTCCGCCGGAGGTTCCGCCAGGACCATCCAATCCTGCGTCTGCACTCTGACAGAGGTGGTGAGTTCACCTCGGACCTCTTGCGGGCCTTCTGTTAGGGGGAGGGCATTGAGCACTCGTTCACGCTTCCGGGCTCACCGCAGCAAAATAGGGTTGCTGAGCGCCGCATTGGCTTAGTCATGGAGGTCGCTCGTACCTCCTTGATCCATGCGGCGACTCCCCATCTTCTGTGGCCGTTTGCGGTCCGGTACGCCGCGCAACAGCTCAACCTCTGGCCCCGTGTCTCCTTGCCGGAAACCTCGCCCACACTGCGTTGGACGGGGAAGGTTGGCGATGCGTCGCGCTTCTGGGTTTGCGGTGCTCGTGCCCTTGTTCGCGATACGTCTGCAGACAAGCTCTCCTCCCGCACCATTTCATGTGTCTTCCTTGGTTTTGTCCCTGACGCGCATGGCTGGCAATTCTACCACCCCACCTCACGCCGTGTCCTGCCCTCTCATGACGTCACCTTTGACTAGTTGGTTCCTTTCTACCGTCTCTTCCCCTACCGCACTGCCCCTCTCCCTCCCCTGCCGCTTTTCCTCGCTCCAGGTCCCCCTCCGGTAGATCCCCTCCCCCCTCAGGGTCCTGCTCCTTCAGGTGTGTCTCAGGTAGACCCGCCCCCCGTGGCTGAGCCTGTAAAGGTCACTAGCGACTCAGGTGCTGCTGCGGGAGGGGCTGCTAGGGGTGCTGCGTGTGGGGGTGCTGAGCCCGCGTATGAGGTGCAGGGGAGTGCGGAGCCTGGGGATGCTGAGCCTACGGCTGCGGAGTCTGGGAATGCTGAGCCGGAGGGTGCCGGGTCGGAGGGTGCTGAGTCTGCTGCCGTTCCTCTGGGTCTCGTTTCACGACGCGACCATGTCTCACCACAGCAGGCACGAGAGTGGCTTGCGTCGCGTACCCGCCTGAGGAGTCGTGCTACTGGAGCTGCTTGTCGTGGAGGCGCTGGAAGTGTTGGTGTCTCTGATCCTAGAGGTGCTCGTACTAGAGGTACTGGAGCTGCCGGGACTGGTACTGCTCCTGGAGTTGGAGGTGTCGGCTCTGGGGGTGCTGCTGCTGGCGGTTGGCGCTGGTGCTGGTTCCCGGTGCTGGCGGCTGGCGCTGGTGCTGGTTCCTGGTGCTGGCGGCTGGCGCTGGTGCTGGTTCCTGGTGCTGGCAGCTGGTGCTGGTGCTAGTTCCTGATGCTGGTGATGGTACTGGATCTTGGCGCTGGTGCTGGTGCCTGGTGTTGGTTCCTGGTGCTGGCGCGGGTCTGCTGGTTCATTTAATGGCGGGCTTGCGGGTCGTGGACGATCTGTGGCATGCAGTGGTGGAGCAGCAGCTTCTCCCGCCACTCCCGCCACGCTTGCCATGCCCTCCACTCCCGCCACGCCCGCCATTCCCGCCACTCCCAACGCCCCCGCCACTTCCGCCACTCCCTTCACAGCAGCTGCGAAGTCGACGGGAGGGCGGGCGGGGAAGAGGTGTGACTGGCGGATGCTGGAACTGGCGGCCGCCACTCCCTTCCCCCTTTCTTCTTCGCCCCCACTACGCCCGTCGATGTTTCTGCGCCACGGAGCCGCGATGAGGCAGCGTGACGGCGGCGGGTCCATTGGCGGGCTCGCTTGCGGGCCCGTTGGCGGGTTCGTCGGCGGGCGTGCTCACACCGCGCTGGCGGGTCCGTCGGCGGGTTTGCTGGCGGGTCCGTCGGCGGGCTTGCTGGCGCTCTCGTTGGCGGAACTGACGGCGGGTCCGTCGGCGGGTTTGCTGGTGGGTCCGTCGGCGTGCTTGCTGGCGGGTCCGATCCTGGCTTTCCTGGTGCGTTCCTTGCATGCGCGGTGGCGTGCATTGCTGGTAGTGCGCGGGCGACGGGCGGAAAACGGAAAGTGCTCACGAGGCGCACTAAGGGGTGCGCCATTGCGAGCGCTAATGGTCGGCCCATTTGAAAACGGTCCCAATTGGACCTAGCTCTATACCATGTTACGATATGGTCTTAACGTAGGAACCGGGTTTAGGGAGGGCCTAGGCTTAGTAGCCTAGGCCAAGCAAGTGTCGAGGTCAAGGCCAAGGGAGTGTCGAGAGAAATTGACCAAACAGGTTAGCTTCTCTAAAGCAAAGCATACAAGATATAGTCGAGATACACAAACAAGGGGTGCACCACCAACAGCAAAGAATAATAACTACAGTAACTACAGCAAGTAGGATAAATCTCAAATATAACTTTGACATCTGGAGCTGCTGGAGGAGCTGGAGCTGGAGGTGCTACTGCAGGAGTCACTGGAGCTGGAGGTGCTGCTGCTGGAGGCGCTGGAGCTAGAGGTTCTGGAGCTTCTGGAGGCGCTGGAGTTGGAGGTGCTGCTGCAGGAGTGACTGGAGTTGGAGGTGCTGCTGCAGGAGGCCTTGGGGCTTGAGGTTCTGGAGCTGCTGGAGGCGCTGGAGGAACTAGCACAGGTGGCACTGCACCCCCGCGAGTGTTTTTCGCTCCGCCGTCACCGTCGTCTTTGCCACCGCCTGACTCTGTGCTTTGCTAGGTTCTTAGGCTCTCATCTTCTACTGGCCTCCCCTTACAGCCCGGCGCACCACTGCCTGCTCCTTCTCCTTACAATGAGTAGACAGACTCGCTTACACGGCGCCGTGAGCCTGCGTCTCGTCCTCCCTCGCCTGTTCGCGCGCGTCGCACTGGTAGTCGTGTTCCTTGTGAGCGTCCACCTCCTGTCCCTGGCATGCACGCTATGGCACTTCGTCCTTCCTCTGTTCCACAGCGTGTTCCCCTGCCGTCTGCTCCTGCATCTTCTCTGCCTGACGTTAAGGACCCTGAGTCTGACCTGGTTCGTGCTGCTCACCCTACTATCATGCGTCTGCTAGCCACAGTTGTCATTGACACGTCGTTTGAGTCTGCTACTGCGTCTGCCTTAGTCTCTGAGCTTGTTGACTTTGCTGCTGCCTGTCATCTAGACTTCGCTGCTAGTCTTGTTGCTAAGTCTGAGTCTGTCTGTCCTCCGTCCGTCGGGGGTGAGTGTGCTCTTGGCACGGACGTCCTTGAGGACAGGCAGGAGGACCTTGAGTGTCTTGCAGCTGCTGCGCCTCATCTCGTGGCCATGCTGCTTGCCCCTAAGGGAGACCCGGATGCTCCAGACATCCCGACCCCGTGCTCTTACGCTGAGGCAATCGCGGGTGAGTACTCCTCTCAGTGGCACACAGCCATAGACGCAAAGATGGCATCCTGGAAACCCACACACACTTACGTCGACGCAGTTCCCCCTCCTAGAGCGAACGTAGTCGATGGCATGTGGATTCTCAAGGTGAAGCGGGCGCCGGGTTCTCCGCCTGTCTTCAAGGCTCGTTACGTTGCACGAGGCTTCAGTCAACGACAGGGAGTTGACTTCTTCCAGACCTTCTCCCCCACCCCGAAGATGACCACTCTTCGGGTGCCGCTGCACGTTGCCGCTCAGCGTGACTACGAGCTTCACTATCTGGACTTCAACACAGCGTTCCTACAGGGCAGTCTGCACGAGGAGATCTGGCAGCGCCGCCCACCTGGCTTCACTGGGTCGTTCTGTCTTGGTACCCAGTAGAGCCTCCGCGGGCCAGTCTACGGTCTCCGCCAGGCGCCTCGTGAGTGGCACGACACACTGAGGACGACACTTGCGGCTCTTGGGTTTGCACCTTCGACTGCTGACCTGTCGTTCTTTCTGCGCACCAACACTTCGTTGCCACCGTTCTACATTCTCATGTACATTGACGACTTGGTCTTTGCCACTGCTGACACTGAGGCTCTCACCCTTGCGAAGTCGGAGCTGCAGAAGAGACACACGTGCACAGACTTGGGTGAGCTGCGCAGCTACCTTGGTCTGCAGATCACCCGGGACAGAGCACGGCCCACCATTACACTGACTCAGTCACACATGGTGCAGCAGGTCCTTCAGCGGTTCGGCTTCACTTGGTCCTCGCCATAGTCCACTCCCCTGGCTACAAGTCACTCGCTCTCAGCTCCACCTTCGGACGAGTTCGTAGAGCCGAGTGGTCCATACCCAGAGCTAGTAGGCTGCCTCATGTACCTGATAACCTGCACTCGTCCTTACCTTGCGTACCCTCTTGGCCTTCTGGCACGCTACGTGGCTTCTGGTAGGAACCGAAAGGTGCACTTCGATGCTGCGAAGAGGGTACTGCGCTACTTGTGCAGTACATCGGGCATGGCGCTCGTGCTTGGAGGGCGGAGTTTAGTTGTTCTCACTGGGCACTCAGACGCTTCTTGGGTTGACGACCTGGCTACGCAGCGGTCGTCACAGGGTTACACCTTCAGCCTTGGCTCTGGCTCTGGTTCTTGGCGGTCTACACGCTTGTCTCCTGTTATCAGCCCCAGCAACGAGCTTGACGGCGATGGTGAGGTGCTTGCGCTGCTCCGTGGAGAGCCCATTGACCCCCGGCAACCCCACCATGGCGTCGCGCAGACTATCGAACTCCACTAGTTCCATCACCTCCTCCACAAACTCTTCTCCGACTTCCTTGTCAACATCAGCCGGTAGGCACAGCCACGCGGAGAAGAGCAGGCTCTCGTGCACCGTCACCTGCGGTGTGTGAATGTCGCTCTGCTCGTAGTACCCCGCCACGTGAGCAAACTTCTCGTGCACCTTGGGGAACCCTGACACGCGCACGTCCCCCTCGATGTACCCCCCGGTCTTCCTCCCCGCCAGCACGTCGATGAGCATCGTCTTGCCCGCGCCCGACACACTCATTAGCGCTGTCAGCACCGCGGGGCGGAACGCGTCCAACACTTTGCGCAGCAGCTGCAGGCGCGCGTCGGAGGGGGGGGGGGGGGCGCCCTCGGCGGGCATGCCAACGAAGTAGCTGACGTTGCGGAAGGAGAGTGAGTGCGGCGCGAATGGCAGCACCATGCCGTGCTTGCCCCCGGTGGACTCGGCCTGGGACTCCACGTCTGGAAATGGGGGGCCAAAGAGGTGCGTGGAGCGGTTTTGTAGCTGATCCAAGACAATCAACACCACTCACATTCACCTCTACCTAGATCTCTACAACCCCTTACCTTTGGCCCCTGTGTGGCTGGTGCAGTAGCGGTCCAAAGCGCTGCCTGCATCCTGCCGAGTGGACCGCTTCCTGTTGCCGCCCGCTGCAACCACCACCTCGCCCGTGCGGGTGGTGTGCTTCGCCTCTATCTGCTCCTCCGACACCACCGGTTGGGGGCGGTCCCACGCTGCATTGACAAACAGTCAAAAGGGGGTTTAGAAGAGTGAGAGAGAGAGGGGTGAGAGGGCAGGAGAGAAGCAAGCAGTAACACGGAGGTGGCATGCTTCGCCTCTATCTGCTCCTCCGACACCACTGGCTGGCGCAGATCCCACTCTCACACATGCAGGGAGAGGCGCACGGGAGAGAGAGAGAGAGCAGCATAAGAGATTAAGGGCTCAGGATGAGTCGGTGCGTTGGGGTGAGTGGTAAGAGAGCAGAGGCTAGAGAGAAGGCAAGAGAGAAGGCAAGAGAGCAGGCAAGAGAGCAGGCAAGAGAGCAGGCAAGAGAGAAGGCAAGAGAGCAGGCAAGAGAGCAGGCAAGAGAGCAGGCAAGAGAGAAGGCAAGAGAGCAAGCACAAGAGCAGGCAAGAGAGGCAGGCACGAGAGCAGGTACGAGAGCACGCAAGAGAGCACGCAAGAGAGCATGCAAGAGAGCACGCAAGAGAGCACGCAAGAGAGCAGGCAAGAGAGCAGGCAGGAGAGCAGGCAAGAGACCAGGCAAGTGAGCAGGCAAGTGAGCAGGCAAGAGAGCAGGCAAGAGAGCAGGCTAGAGAGCAGAGTGGAGAATCACGGAGGGCATAGCAGCAGCACCACAAGAGTGGGAGCTTCACAGCTTATTGTTAAGAGAAGCAAGGGTGAGCAAGGTGAGGAGGTTGTGGGAGTAGGATGGAACCAGACAGATGAAACAAGGAGAGAAGGTGTTGAAAGCTTACGATCAAGATAAGCGAGCGTGGCAACAGTGAGGAGGTTGAAAAGCAGGATGTATCCAATGAGTGCCGCCACACCAATGCCGACCCACTTGTCATCCATTGGGATCGAGCGGCTCTCCAGAAACACCTGCCCCATGGTGGCCGTGGTGGGGAAGAGGGGACCTGCGGACTGCAGAGGGGGTACACACAAGGGTACACACAAGGAAGGGCGATGAGGAAACATGAGCAGCTCTCTAGCATATCATCTGGACCATGGTGGCCGAGAGGGAAATGCGTGGAGCTGCAGATTGCAATCAGGGCTGCAGGCGCACACATGGCTTGGCGCACATATGGCATGACTGCAGGCACACACATGACAAGCAATGACAGTAGAAAGAAGGGACATTTGGGCTAGACAATCATGTGTGTGTGTGTGTGTGTGTGTGTGTGTGTGTGTGTCTGTGTGTGTGTGTGTGTGTGTGTGTGTGTGTGTGTTTGTGTGTGTGCGCGCGTATGTACATGCGCGCGCGCGTGTGCATGCCAACAGTTGGAAACAGCGAGACAAACACTTATTACAGATGGGAACCCCACGTGCCAGCACTCGTAGCCGAGGGAATAGGAATCCCAGGAGCACTCACGACGTTCCTCCGGGGCGCGAGAAACTCGTTAACAGCGAGGGCGTTCTGCGCGAACATGAGAGGCGAAATCCAATACGCCCAGATCTACACGTTGCTGATGTCGGCTGGAAAAGGGCCGTGGGGGGGGAGGAGGAGGGAAGGGGAGTAGTGAGAGGGCGAGGAGAGATTAAGGGGGCTTGCGGGCCGTACATCAATGGAGGTGATGGAAGGGGAGGACAGGGGCAACCGAGCTCTCCAAGCATGCGGTAACCAAGCCGGTCACCCAGCTCTTTACACACTCTAGTATTGGCCTGAGTGTGACAAAGCCAACATGCGGACCTTGACCATGCTGCGGCCCGCTGCTGCTCACAAGGGTATGTTCAAAGTGCGCCTCACCCACCTTTATCGATGGCAAACCCACCAAGTAGGACAAGGAGAATGCCGGAATAGGAGCTAAAGGTGGTGGAGACCACCATGTTGCGCCCCGATGAAGGTCACCCCTCACTGCCGTGTCTCCGCAGCATGCACTCCCGTCTCCTTGTCTCTGGCCTTCCCAGGTCCCTGCCCCCCCTCCCGCGCTCGCCTGCCCGCCTACGTTGAGGGGCGGCAGCGCGCCGCTCCTCACTCCTCGTTTCCTCCTACCACTGCTCCTCGGCAGACTCTCCACATGGACGTGTGGGGACCGGCCCCTGTCAGTGGGACGGACCAGGAGCGCTACTTCCTGCTGGTCGTTGACGACTACACGCGCTACACCACGGTCTTCCCCTTGCGCAGCAAGGCGGCCGTCAGCGGTGTTTTGATCCCCTGGATCCGCGCTACTCGTCACCAGCTGCGCGAGCGGTTTCGGCGGGACCTTCCGGTCTTGCGTCTGCACTCTAACAGGGGCGGTGAGTTCTCTTCCGGCCTCCTTGCGGAGTTCTGTCGAGACGAGGGCATCATCCAGACGTTCACGCTCCAAGCCTCTCCGCAGCAAAATGGGATTGCTGAGCGTCGCATTGGCTTGATCATGGAGGTTGCTCGTACCTCCATGATCCATGCGGTTGCTCTCCATTTTCTGTGGCCGTTCGCGGTATGATACGCCGCGCATCAGCTCAACCTCTGGCCCCGTGTCTCTTTGCCAGAGACCTCGCCCTCACTCCGTTGGACGGGAAAGGTTGGCGATATGTCGACGTTTCGGGTCTGGGGCGCACTCTCCCTTGTTCGCAATACCACCGCGAACAAGCTCTCTTCTTGCACTCTCCACCACGCCTTCTTGGGCTTCCCCACCAACGCCCCACCATGGCAGTTTTACCACCCTCGCGAGCATCGCGTGCTCTCCTCCCAGGACGTCACTCGCTCTGTTTCTACAGGCTCCACCCGTACGCGTCCCACCCGGTCCCCCTCGCACCTCTCTTCCTGGCACCAGTTCCCCCCCGGGTATAACCCCTCCCCCCACAGGGTCCTGCTCCCTCAGGTGTGTCTTGGTTGAGCCTTGGGAGGTCTCTTCTGACTCGGGCCCGGCTGAGGGGGGTGACCTTGCCGTTGACGACACGGCGGCCACTCGTCGCTCTCCACGCTTGGAGACCCCTCCTGGTTTTCCGCCTCGACCGTCTTCACCACCTCTGCAGCCTGTAGCTGTGGACACTGGTGCTGCTGGGGGTGGTGACACTGGGGGTGAGGACGCAGGAGGTGCTGGTCCTGGGGTTGCTGAGACTGGGGGTACTGAGACTGGGGGTGCTGGTCCTGGGGGTGAGGGTTCTTAGGGTGCTGAGACTGGGGGTGCTGCGAGTCCTAGTGGTGGAGGGGCTGTGGGTGCTCCTACTGCAGATCCTGGTGTTGGACAACAGCAGCCACCTAGTCGGCCCGAGACACCCTCACCCCAGCAGCTTCGTGAGTGGGTCGTTCGGCGAGGCCGCTCTGATGCTGGAGCTTGAAGTTACCTCGACGCTGGAGCGGCTGGTGCTGGAGGTACTACTGGAGCTACTAGTGCTGGAGCTGGTGGTACTGGAGGTACTGGAGGTGCTGGAGCTGGTGGTACTGAAGGCACTAGAGGTGCTGGAGCTGCTAGTCCTGGAGGTGCTCGTACTAGAGGTGTTGGAGCTGCCGAAGCTGATGGTACTGAAGGTACTGGAGGTGCTGGAGCTGCTGGTCATGGAGGTGCTCGTACTAGAGGTGCTGGAGCTGCCGGAGCTGGTGGTGGTGCTGGTGCTGAGGTGCTGAAGGTGCTACTGGAGGTGCTGGAGCTGGAGGTACTAGAGCTGCTAGAGCTTCTGACGGTATGGGTACTGCGCCGAGCCGACCGTTTTTCTACCCGCAGCCGCAGTCGTCCCTACCACCGCCTAACTCAACCCTTCGCCAGGTTCTTAGTTTCCTGTCTTCCACTGGCCTCACTCCACTTCTCCTGTGTCCACTGACAGACTAGTCTCAGCCATAGCTTCTGCTTGGCTCCCCGCTGCCCGCTCCTACTCCTCAGAGTGAGGTGACTGAGTCCTTGACCGAGGGTCGTGAGCCTGAGACTCGTGCTTCCACACCTGATAGTGCTCGACTTGTCGCTCGTCCTTGTCCTCTTGCTATCCTAGGAACTCACGTTCTGGCACTTCGTACTTCCTCTGTTCCACAGCGTGTTGCCCTGCCGTCTCCTCTAGCGTCCTCTCTTCCTGACGTTCCTGACCCAAAGTCCGACCTTACTCGTGCTGCCAGTCATACTGTCACTCGTCTCCTTGCTACTATCGTCACTGACCGTGGCTTTGAGTCCACTGCTGCGTTTTCCCTAGTCACTGAGCTCGTCGACTTTGCTGCTAGGAGTCGTCTCGACTACGTTGCGAGTCTTGTTACCGAGTTTGAGTCTGTCTGTCCTCCGTCCGTCGGGAGTGAGCCCGCTCTTGGCACTGACGTCCTTGAGGACAGGCAGTTTGAGCTTGAATATCTCGCGACCGCTTTACCTCGTTTCGCATCCATGCTCCTTTGCCCTGAGGGAGACCCGGATTCACTTGACATCCCTACCCCGCGCTCTTACGCTAAGGCGAGCGAGGGTGAGTACTCCTCTCAGTGGCAGACAGCCATGGACGTAAAGATGTTCCTGGAAGTCCGCAGGCACCTTCGTCGACGAGGTTCCTCCTCCGGGGGCGAACATAGTCGAAGGCATGTGGATTTTCAGAGTGAAGCGGCCGCCGGTTTCTTCGCCTGCCTTCAAGGCACGTTACGTTGCTCAAGGCTTCAGTCAGCGACAGGGGGTCAACTACTTTCAGACCTTCTCCCCCACCTCGAAGATCGCTACTCTTCGAGTGTTGCTGCACGTTGCAGCACAACGTGACTACGAGCTGCACTCCCTCGATTTCTCTACAGCTTTCTTGCATGGCAGCCTTCACGAGGAGATCTGGCTGCGCCGCCCACCTGGCTTCACTTGGTCGTTTCCTGCGGGTACCCAGTGGAGCCTCCGGCGGCCAGTCTACGGTCTTCGCCAGGCGCCCCGCGAGTGGTACGACACACTGAGGACGATATTTGTGGCTCTTGGGTTTGCTCCTTCCGTTGCTAACCCGTCACTGTTTCTACGCACCGACACTACCCTTTCGCCGTTCTACATACTCGTGTTCGTCGACAACTTGATATTTGCTACTGCTCACACTGAGGCGCTGACCCTAGTGAAGGCGGAGCTGCACGAGAGACGCACCTGCATTGACCTGGGGAGCACCTGAAGCGAGGAAGAGCGGCGGGGGGGGGGGGGGGGAGAGGGGCAGTGCGGTAGGGGAAGAGACGGTAAAAGGGAACTGACTCATCGAACGTGACGTCCTGAGAGGGGAAGACACGGCGCGAGGTGGGGTGGTAAAACTGCCAACGAGGCACGTCAGGGACAAAGCCAAGGAAGACACAATGAACAGCGCGGGCGGAGAGCTTGTCCGCGGTGGTATCGCGGACAATGGCACGAGCACCCCAGACCCAGAAACGCGATGCATTCCAACCTTCCTTGTCCACAGCAGTGTGGGTGAGGTCTCCGGCAAGGAGACACGGGGCCAGAAGTTGAGCTGATGCGCGGCGTACCGGACCGCAAACGGCTACAGAAAATGGGGAGCAGCCGCATGGATCATGGAGGTATGAGCGACCTCCATGACTAAGCCAATGCGACGCTCAGCAACCCCATTCTGCTGCGGAGAGGTCGGAAGCGTGAACGTCTGGCGGATACCGTGCTCCGCACGGAAGGCTGCCAAGAGGTCGGAGGAAAACTCCCCACCTCTGTCAGAGTGCAGACGCAGGACGCGAAACTCCGTCCCGAACCGCTCGGGGAGCTGGAGATGAGCAGCGCAGATCCAAGGGATCAAAACATCAAGGACCTCACCCTTGGTGCACAAGGGGAAGACCGTGGTGTAACGCGTGTAGTCGTCGACGACCAGCAGGAAGTACCGCTCGTGGCCCTGTCCACGGACACGGGCTAGGCCCCACACGTCCGTGTGGAGAGTCTGCAGGGGAGCCTCTATGGGAGGGAACGAGGAGGAGTGAGGAGCGGCGCGCTGCCGCCCCTCGACACAGGGAAGATAGGGAGGAGCAGGCGAGGGTGAGAGGGGAGGGAGAACCCTGGGAAGACCAGAGACAAGGACACGGCGGTGCATGCTACGAAGGCGCTGCACCGAGGGGTGACCAAGGCAGTGGTGCCAAAGGAGGGTCTGGTGCGACAAAGCGCGACACGAGCAGGGGGCCGCTAGCTAACCTGATGCAGACGCAGACGCAACGACCTGAGGGGACACAGTAGTCAGCGTGTACAATAACGAGCCAGGCGCATGGGTAAACGTGGCCAAGTGCCGGCCCGTCCGGGAGCACCTACAGTGGGTGACGCGCTGACCTCCAGGAGTGAACATGTCGACCCACTGGTCCTGGAGGTCAGCACCACTCACCAAGTTCGTAGAGAACGAGGGGAGGTGAAGACCTGACAGGGAGCCAGACAGGACTGCCGGACACAGCAGGACCGTGGAGGAGTGCGCAAGGAGTGGACTCCCAGAGGGGTCTTCAAGGGAGACTTGAACCGGCCAGCTGGGCGGCGTGAGGGTGGTGCTGTTGCGAAAGAAGGAGCGGGAAGCACCTGAGTCAAGTGTGAAGGTGTACAAGGCCGCAGCAGGCGCAGTACCAGAGAGAGCAGACTCACCAGCACCTGGAGCAGCAGCCTCACCAGCACCCAGAGCAGGAGACGCACTAGCACCTAGAGCAGCAGCCTCACCAGCACCGAGAGCAGCATGCTCTATACCTGGGTCAGGGGGAACGCACAGGTAACAGGCACGGTCAGCACTAGTAGGCAATGCATACATGGCAGTGAGAATAGCATCATAGTCAAGAGCATAGATATGTACCCTCTGCCCAAGCAGCTCCACCCAGTCGGGGAGCTCAGCCTCGTCGCCAAACTCGGTACGCCAGGCGCTGCTCAGACGGGCGAAGCAGCGGGACTGGCTGTGACTAAGCATCCCGCAAGTCTGACCCCTCTGATCATCTGTGCGAATGACGTACGAGCAGC